TAGCTGTGTTCGGAGCCCCAGAGCTGCTGTCTGTCTCCCTCCCCTCCTTCCCCCCCTCCCCCTCTCCCATTCCCCCTTCTCCCCTTCTCTCCCCCTCCCCAGTGATTGCATGTGCCTTATAGCAAATTAAAAAATGGTAATTTTTTTTTTTTTAAAGAGACTGAGGTTTGCGAAGGAGAGTTGATTCATGGTAGGTGCTAAAATCTTTCTAATCTGAATCTGCAGGTGCTGAGTTTGATTAAGGCTTGCCCAAGACCCGAAGGGTTGAACTTTCAGGATCTCAAGAGCCAGCTCCGACACATGTCTGTGGCCTCCATCAAGTGAGTATTTGCTATCTGTGAGCAGGGCCCAGAACTGTGAGGGCCAGCTCCCCTCCTGCTGACTCCCGAGGAAGCAGGGTGAAGCTGCAGACGGCAACCTGCCTGGCAGGAGGGGAGCCGATCCGCCCTGGGAAAGAGGGCGGTGCTCACAGGCTGGCGGCCAGCACTGGGTGTCCAGCCGGCAGGCGTGCGTCCGGGGGGCCTCAACCCGGCTCTAACCCAGGGCCTCACGGGAGTCAGCCTAGAGGAGTGAAGCCCCTGGCTCCTGGCCCTCAGGTGTATGTCCCTCGAGGCTTTACTGTCCCCACTGTGGATGTGTGCCCCGGGCCATCTGGACCTGCAGCCATGACACGGTCCGTTCCTCTGCACCCTTGCCCTGCCCATCTTCGGCTGCAGCTGCCAGGGTGCAGCGGCGCTTGTGAGAGCTGTGCTTACTGCAAATCGACTGGTTTCTGGGCTCAGAGAAATGCTTAGGTCAAATTCCACTTCCTGTCTCATAAGACGAGCGCGAAGTCGGTGTTTCAGAGCCTCTGTGATAGTGAGCAGCTGTCGCTTAGGTGCTATGCCTCGTGGCGTGGCTGCTCTGACCCTGCGGCTGCTCAAGGGCCCAAAGGCACCACGCTGTTCCAGAAGGCCTCTCTTTCGCTTCCTGCGACTCGACTTCCCGGGGAGCGTGAGAAGGTCTCAGTGTATGCTTGGGGTGGGGGGCTTGTAAGCACAGCAGTCTACACTCGATTTCACATGCACCCAGGACTACAGCTTTAGATCCTTGTTTGACTTTCCTTCGTCTGGCCTTAAAGTGGGGCCCTGGGCTGACCCTGTAGCGTCATTGTTAAGGGAGCCAGATTCTACACAGCAGACCACGGTTCGAGTCCTTGCCCTGGAGGCTTAAAAATTGGACGTCTATGCATGCTTGCCCCAAATCCCAGCAGGAGGAGAAATGGAGAAGCAATTGCACATGGCCTTGCCCCACGGGGACCCTTTTCCCTCTCCCCACTGACTCTCTGGCAGGTGCCCTTTTAGCAAGTCAGGAAGTAGTGGGGCCTGTTTTTCTGTTAGATAATGGGAAGGGGATTCTGGGCAGCCCTGCTGGCCCTCTGCTCCACAGGTCTCGGCTATGCGGTTTTACTGGACTTGCAAGAGCCTTCTATGTGCACGTGGCTGTGGGTTTTTGTTTTGTTTTGTGGTTTTTTTTTTTTTTAAGCGGTTTTTGCTGGGCCAGCAGGTGGCATGGTAGTTAAGGCAGTGGCCAACCATGGTTCAAGTCTTGGGCCTGGTGGCTTGTTTTCTCACTTTCCCTCTCTGTGTCTCTGTCTGGTCAAATTAAAATAAATGAATGGATAAATAAATAAATAATTCTTTTTTTTTTTTTTTTTGAGAGGTTTTCGCTATAGGGCGTGTGCGCTCGCCAGAGAGAGACAGAGACAGAAAGCGAGAAATCACCCCCCAGGAAGGATGGTCACACCGCAATCCCTTCTCCTCCATTGTCCTCTCGGGAATCTTGGGCACGCACGCACACTCGCCCGGCGTGAAATAATACTAGTTTTGTTTTTTGAGAGGTTTTTACTATAGGATATGTGCACTCACCAGAAAGACAGAGAGAGACAGAAAGCGAGAAATCACCCCCCAGGAAGGATGGTCACACCGCAATCCCTTCTCCTCCATTGTCCTCTCGGGAATCTTGGGCACGCACACATGCCCGACATGAGTTTAAGCCACCAGGGCCGGGACTCAAACCACAGTCGACTACATGGGAGTCTAATGACATAGTCATTGCGCTAACTGCTGCTCCCAATAAATAATACTTTTTTTAAAACGTTTTTGCCTTAGGACAAGTACGCTTGCCAGAGAGAGAGACCATGAGAGGGAAAGTGAGAAATCATCCCCAGGGGTTGGGGGCATGACCACGCCGTAATCCGTTCTCCTGGTATCTTGGGTACGCATGCACACGTGCCAGGCATGAGTTTCAAGCCACCAGGTTCAGGATGCAAACCATGGTCGTCCTTGTGGGAGTGCAGTGACATAACTGCTATGCCATCGGCTGGCCCCTTGTCTGAGTTCTTAACTCCAAGGAAAGCGAGGAGATAGTTACTTGGCCTTACCCAGAGGCCGTCTCCTTCCTTTGCATTGGTTTGAAAATGAGCCTGTTTTCTCCTCCTGTTCTTCTAGGCAAGCTGTGGATTTTCTTAGCAACGAAGGACACATCTATTCCACGGTGGATGACGATCATTTTAAATCCACAGACGCCGAGTAGCTCGGCCTGTTGGGTCCACAGAGCTCCCTGCCCGACCTGCCTTATGCTCTGCGCTGTGCGTGTTTGGCCAGTTGGCGTCTCGGAAGCAGGCTTCTGCCGGGAAGGGTCTCAGCTGGCTGCTGCTTAAAACTCACTGCCTGTCTGTTCACATCGCAGCCAGATGGGCACTTGACAGGGATGGGGGTGTTCCCGAGTTACACAGAAGCAGTTACAGCCCCGGGAGACGGGCTGGACAGCCCGAGGGTGCCCAAGGCTGGCCAGACGAGCCGGCAGGTGGGCTGCAGCCACAGAGCGGGTGGTCGCCGCCTGCCTTGGTTGCCATCGGAGACGTGGCCACTTTTAGGAGTGCACTTCCCTTGACATGGCCGCTGCCACAGCCCGTCTGTGGACGGGGTTGAGTGGTGGCCTGGCAGCGGAGGACAGCTGTTAACTGTGTCGCGTCTAATAAAGCAGCACTGTCCCAGCGTGCGCGTGCTCTGTGGCGGGGGTGGGGGGGTGCGGCGGAGGCCAGGGTCCTCGCAGAGCCGCCTGCCTTCCTTTATGAAGAGACAGCCTTGTCACCACCTCGGCTTGTTGGCAGGTTGATGAGAAGACCTGTATGGCATCTGGTGCTGCCGTTAACGGGTTACCGAGGACCCGGTGTGCGTCCTCCAGACGCTGTCCGGACGCTCGTGCCATTTTTGGTCAAGCTAGTCAGCCCCGTCTCCTGTGGGAAAGCAAGTTCACAGGTGTTTCTGACGACTTCGGAAATGAAGTGCTTGAATAGAAGAAGCAATTCTGAGACAAAGTTGATGAAGTCTATGCAAATAAGTCTGAGTGCTGTAACTTACCACAGTACACGGAAGCGCAGCGGTGGGGCTCCCTCCATGCTGCCAGGAGCAGGAGCAGCGTCTGCCTGATTCTGTGGGCTCCAGAGAGCCATGCAAATGCATGACTCGACCCCAGGATGTCCCCTGCAAGGTCATTTGGCAGGCAGGACAAGGAGCTGCCAGACCCTCCCCCCCTTTTTTTTTTGGAGAGATTTTCGCTATAAGGTGCATGCGCTTGCCAGACAGAGACATAGAGACAGAAAACGAGAAATCACCCCCCCGGGGGGATGGTCACACAGCAATCACTTCTCCATTCTCTCAGGATCTTGGGCACACACATGCGCCCGGTGTGAATTTTAAGCCACTGGGTCCAGGACGTAAAACAAGGTTGACTACGTGGGAGTCCAGCGACATACCCATTACGCTAACTGCTGGTTCCCTCTTTTTTTCTTTTGAGAGGTTTTTGGTGTAGGGGACGTTTGCTTGTCAGAGTGACGAGACAGAGAGGGAGAAATCACCCTGGGGGGGCGGGGAGGAGGCACATGTGTGCCAGAAATGCTGAGGAGGGCCCATTTCCTGTGGGGTGCTTTCTCCCCCTAGTGACTGCACACACCTTCTGTCAAAATTGTCAAATACCCATTGGGGCTGGCACATGGTGTGGTTCAAGTCCCAGACCTGGTGGCTTTTTCTCTCACTCTGACCCTTGAGGGTCAAGTTAAATAAAAGTTAGATAAAATCTTTTTTTAAAAAAAAATACCCACTGATGGGGACCAGCAGGTGGCATGGTGGTTAAGGCTCTGGACACTCCCACGTGTCTGACCATGGTTCAAATCCTGGCCCTGGTGGCTTGCTTTCTCACTTTGTCTGTCTCTGGTCAAATTAAATGAATGAATAAATTTAAAAATACCCACTGTTTTAGCCCATGGGTCACACAGTAGGGACATAAAGCAAAAAGGATGGCCTACAAGACCCGCTGGTTCACACCCCGTAGTCCCTGGGCACGTCTGCGTCAGGTGTGTGTGGTTGCCGAGTGCCCCTGGGCAGTGAAAGCGGCCTCTAGGGCTGGATCCCACTCTGCCCGCGCCCCTGTGGCCCAACAGGCACTCCCGGGAGCGGCACTGAGGGGCAGGGGCGGCCACAGGGCAGTTCGGAGCCCTCCCAGCGTCAGGCTGCTGGTGGGAAGTTCCCTGGCCATACAGCTGCGAAGGAGCCTCCTGGGAGAATACCGAGCCGAACTAGAGAAAGGCCAGTACAGTGAAGTCTAAAGGGGGTGAAGACGCTTTCTGTGGGGTGGGAGTTTGGTGTCTGCACCAGAGTGAGAAATCCCCCAGAAGGACGGCACATGTGTGCACACACCCAGTGTGATTTGTGGGGTGCAGGGTCCAGGATTCAGTCAACTGGGTAGGAGTCCAGCAACTTCGCCACCATGCCACCTGCTGGCACCCCCCAGGCTGTGGTTTTTTTTTTTTTTAAGGGAGATTTGCTATAGGATGCCTGTGCTTGCCAGAGAGACAGAGACAAAGGCATAAAGCAGTAAATGACCCCCCGGGGGGATGGCCACACCGCAATCCCTTCTCCATTCTCTCAGGATATTGGGCATGTACACACACGTGCCCAGTGTGAGGTTTAAGCCATCAGGTCAAGGACTCGAACCGCAGTTGACTGGGAGTCCAGTGATACAACCATTACACCATGTGCTGGTCCCCCAGGCGTGTTTTTTTTTTTTTGGAGAAGTTTCGCTATAGGGCGCGTGCGCTTGCCAGACAGAGAGAGACAGAAAGCGAGAAATCACCCCCCAGGGTGGATGGTCACGCCGCAGTCCCTTCTCTATTCTCCTCTCGGGATCTTGGGCGCACACGCACCCGGCGTGAG